ATCAGTGACGGTAAGCTGATTATCGCTTAATTTCTGTCTAACATAAACCCTTCCTTCTTGTAATACTTTCCATCTCATCTGCGAATTTAAGGCAAAATAGCGCCAACGAGTGTGACGTGCAAACCTACCATCATTGTATTGGAGTAGGTGCTTGAAATATTCAGCTGGCTTGACCTCTTTAGCACATTTTATATGAAAATCAGCCCGGCTAGTTAGATATAAAGTTGAAAATGCACAAGCGATATATCCAGGTGTTTGGAATTCATTAACGAGATTGCTATCAATGTGTGGCTATGTTATGGAAGAATTTTCCGATTCTATATGGTCAAGTGCGTTGTTAATAGCAATGTCTTCGTGACTAGTCGGTAGAAGAAATGGTACAAAAGAGCGTGTAATGTCATCGTTATCGTTATTGTTTTCATTATTTGGTTCCTCTATAACTTGACTTGTTTGAATTTGTGGAAGCTGACTATCAATATAACCTTCTTGAAGTAAGGATTCAAGAATCTCATTATCAATTACAATGTCTGCATAATACTGATTATTTGCCTTTAACCAGTTTAGTGCATTTGCAACAACATTTCGACGAACTATGAAATCTTTAAATGCTGTAGGATTACTTGCAGATTGGTGACGTACTATAAGGATATTTAGTGATGATGGATCTCGAGGAAGGCGTGTAGTAAACTCTTGTATATCTTGAGAAAAGTTTATAACATTGCCTCTGTATCCTTGTTGTCCTCCACGAAGATTATATACTAACATTATAGTAAAAACTTGTGCTATTAACATTTCTTCTACTTCCGTTAAGCCTTGAAGCTCGTTAGGTATTTCACCTGGGTCCATATCATTTTCAGCAGAGAATTTTTTTGGCAGAGATTTTTCACTACTGCAATGATGACACATTCCTTTAACGAGTACTATAGATGGGAAATATTTGTTGCATATGGGGCAGAGAACACACCGAAGTTTATTCATTTTAGTTCGAAATTTTTGCAAAAGTTCATGCTCGTATTCACTTATTGTTGTTGCTGATAGCGGTTCCATATTTGTTTCCATGACATTATCCTCAGCTTGAGATATAGTCACGACATTCTCCTCACTTTGAACATTTTCGCTTTGAGATGTAGTAGCAAATGTTTCTGTAATAGTCTGTTCGGTTTGATCTGTTGCTTCTACAGTTACTGCTATTACAGATCGTTCTGTCTCTTGTAGCAAGACAGTACTTTTTCCCGCTTTTTGGCGTTTTCACTCTCGATCACGTGCAAGCCGTTCCTCACGTTCTTCTGCAGTTTCTGCTGCTTTATTCTTGAGTTTTCTATTCTGGTTATTTGAAAGACATTCTCTACATTTTTCAGGTGATTCCTTTTTTCTATTTCTACGTTGTCTAAGTGTATTGCTATAATAAATTATTTATTTAATTAGCTCTGCAAAATTGTAAAAAATCAACAATATTAATTTTTAAGGTACAAACATACTTAGTTTCCATTATTAAGAGTGCAAGCACGGCGAATATATAATTAACACTAACTGAAAACATTCCTTTAATTATAATTATTTAGAGTTTATATAAGATAAGGTATTTGGAGAAGTTAATTAAAAATATGGTTTGAAGGTATGATCTTGTAAAAATCTGATTTATTGAAGGTGAAAAATCACCGCTTAAATACATTTTTAACAATCTAAATTATATATTTTATAGCACTCATTATTCTTTCTAACGAACAATATAATCATGCAATTTTTTGCCATTGTGCAATAATCATGCGATTTGAATTTTGTGAAAACACTTTTCGCATCAGCCTGGTTGGCTTAGAATACATAGCTGACTTATTAAGGTACTATTTTGATTTTCAATTATCATGCATTCAATCATTTTAGAGACTCTTCAGGCGCTACCAAATTCACCTTCAACATATATATTGGCTAAGTAATCTATAATTACTAAATACCTGTTATACTAATTAATATGCTTTTCATATTAACCCTGTTTGCTTTGACCATATGGCTGTATTTGGATATGGCTCAGATTCTCGAAAATGCTGATTAAGTAAAATGGTTTCTATTTTGGTGATAATCATTTAATTACTATGCATGCAATTTAATTATTTGGATATGGCTCAGATTCTCGAAAGTGCTGGTTAAGTAAAGCGGTTTCTATTTTGGTGCTAATCATTTAATTACTATGCATGCAATTTAATTATTTTAAAGGTTCTCAGGTTAAGAGATTGTTCCCGGGTAGGCATTGTTATTATATGGTTATAATAAATTATCCGGATAGCCGGGTAACTTAATAATACCCAGATAGAGATTTTTTGACATGTACAATCTCTATCCCAAGAATTACCAAATTTGACCTTCGGCATATCTTGGCAAAGCAATCAAACATGGAAGTAGTGTCTAGATATAGGATAAGTTAAAAAGGCAATCGAAGTTATAGCATTTCATCTTGAAATCATGTGATGTCTCATGAGCGAATTCTTTTTTTTTTGTATTATAATAGATTTCTTTATTTATTTTATGTTCCAGTTTATAAGTTTTATGAACTAAAGTTGGTCTGACACTAATTATGTATACAGGTAAATATTTTATTTCATGAAATTGTGTTATCTGAACATTCCCATATTTTGATATTCTTAATCGCAAACGTGACTTGTTGAGCTTTTATTTCTAGATGGACTGCTGTTAATTGAAAGTGGCAATTTACATTTTTAAAAAATCATAACTTTTTGCGGATATCTTGATTTTACTGATCGATTCAAATATGTTTTGGTGTTTGCAGAAAGTTAATCCGAGTTACCCGTGTAGCATCAGCTATATTCCAATTAGCAGTCGTAAGAGAAAGTCTGTCTGATGGTCTAATGTAAATCAATTGCCTGGATAACTTATTTAAGTAATTTTTAATAGCGCAACGTTTCACTAGCAAAAAATCGCCATTCATAACCTTAGAGCAGCATCAATATACACTGCAAAATAATCTAAAAAGAATCTTAATCGAACCTTGCCTAGAAGACAATATACCTACCGTTTATTGGACGATCTTAAATTATACTGAAAATAAAGTTAAGTGAGAACGTTTTTGTTCAAGACTGCCTTATTACGTTAGTTTTAAAAAAAAAACTTTTATTATTAACTTTGAATATGTTTACTGTAAAAGAAGTTCTGGATTTAATATTTGAATATGTTTGGTTCTTGCGTTGTGTTTAAGTTCATTAACCGTAATGAATTTTAGTTTATAGATCACATAGATTGTATTAGAATTTGAGTTTATTAATAATGACTACCGCCTTTACACCACTTTACATATATCTATATATCCTCTATTTATTTGAAAGGTTAATTATCCTGGGTAGATCATAAAAATTAGAACTTCCTATATTTGCAGATGTTATGCAGTTGCTTTGGTGACCTTTCTGCGAGTACATTCAATCTATTATATTTATGATTGGTTTTGTCATTTAAAATTAGGGTTTTGCAACTGCCAGACATGTTGATGTTAAAACATAATGCTTGACTACATAGGTACTATGTTTTAACGGCATCATGCCTAGCACTTGCAGAAGTTTAATTGAATCGATTTATTTTCAAATATATAAATTACTATAAATTATGCAAATTTACTACTGTGTTAAATCTGTTTTTTTTTTATAACTAAAGAGCTTCAATCTTAAATTCAACAATCTGGTATTCAGATTAGAGGCTTTTATTCAGATTGTCAAAGAATTTAAATAATAGATCTAAGTATAATCTATTATAGATTTATCTGGATTTAATAGAATTTATATTGTTGAAAATAAATTAATAGTTAAAATCAATAAAAAAAAATTTTAAAATTAAAACTGGATAAAAGTTAAATCTAATTAGAAAATTATTATTTAAATAAAAAAACTGAAATTAAATATCTAAAATTAATTGTAAATAAATAAATAACTTTTTTTTAAATAATTATTTAACTTTTATATTATACTAAATATTATTATACTATATATATATATATATTAATTTATTATTATTATTTAAAACTAATGCTCCAGACTTACACTGGTTTCCAGTTCCTAGTAGCTATAGACCGTTACATTTCTAAAAAATTGAAAAGTATAAATGCAGCAGATGTGGATCTTGAGCTCAACATTGTGTCTTCATACACTTTCAAGAATAAAATACATTTTGTATACCAAATTCTGAACAGTTATTAGTATCTT